AGTTCGAGAGCCTAGTTAGGGTTCAAGCTGAGGAGAAAGCTATTACAGTAAACCAGCACTATAATGTTTCAGTAAAAGTAAAATGATCTAAGTTTTTGTCACCTAACTGGAATGCAACCCAGTAAAGACCTGTAACCTAACCCAAGAGTGACTAAACTTTGGGGGTTGAAAGTGGCTTTCCAGGTAGTTTTGTCTGTCCTCCAAGAACATCTGACCAAATTCCTGTGAGCTTGCAGTTGCTGGGCTAACAACTGTGCCCACTTAGCAAATAAACTGGGATTACTGAGGCACGGGACAGTCTCTTGCAAACATGGTTATACCAATTCTGGGGAAGTTTGATTCTCTAGTACAGAGCCAGAGCATTCATTCTAACCTTCTTGTTCCTGAACTGGGGCACCTTAGTCTGTCAATATGAAAATGGCAGTCAGGAGGCCAAGTGACATGTGTTTTTTGCTGATATGTCTTAGCTAACTATGAACCGATTCGCTCCAAGGAATTTACAAAATGGACCAGTGAAAAGGCTATCTGTATTTATGAAGTTGGCTCAGATTTCTTCATTTTGTTTTCAGTTTCAAACAGTTGAGATCACTGGATTTCATTTGCAAAACAAGTGATAAAACTGGAGGCCAAGATTACTTGAGATCCCAAGATATCAATCAAGCATAGGAAAATCTAAGTCTCTTGGATCTGTCTCATGGACCAGTTCTGGTTTTCCTTACCAGCTTCAGTGGGCAGGCACTCTGTGCTTTGCTGTGGTCACCTTAGCCGGGAGGTTCTGGGCAGATTCTGGCTCTCCTCTGCTGCTGACCAACTAGGCATGTACAGAGCATGTCCTCTTGGGTCTCCATCCTGCCATGCTTTTAAATTTGGGAGGAGGAACTTACAAATCACATCTGCCTGCATAGAGTCAGTCGGGTTGTACTGGGTTTGCTTGACAAGGTTGGAGTGGTGGGGCAACAAGGGTGGCACCTGTGAAAAGCTGCTAGAAACTTCTCCCCATGTCCCACAGAGCGAATGCCAGCCAGATCCAAGACAGACCCTCCACTGGCCAAGGCCGAGCCCATCAGTGACACTGGTAGTGCCTCTGGAGTAATACATTTAAGAAGAGGGAAAAGTGTGCAGGAGCAATCGCAGCTGGGAGAGATGAGTGAGAACAGGACAGCAACAGCTCTGCAGACACCAAGGTCAGTGAAGAAGGAGGAGGGGGTGCTCCAAGCATCAGAGCAGATTCCCCAGCAGCCCATGGTGCAGACCATGGTGAGGCAGGTTGTCACCCTGCAGCCCATGGAGGTCTATGGTGGAGCAGATACCCACTTGCAGCCCATGGAGGACCCCATGCAGGAGCAGGGGTGTACTGACGGAGGCTGTGACCCCATGGGAAACCTGCACTGGAGCAGGCTCCTGGCAGGACCTGTGGCCCTGTGGAGAGAGGAGCCCACACTGGAGCAGGTTTGCTGCAGCACTTGTGACCCTGCAGGGGACCCACACTGGAGCAGTCTGTTCCTGAATGATTGCAACCCGTGGAAGGGACCCATGCTGGGGTAGTTCATGAAGAACTGCAGCCCCTGGGAAGGAGCCACATGGGAGAAGTTCATAAAGGACTGTCTCCTATGTGAGGGACCCCACACTGGAGCAGAGTGAGGAGCCCTCTCCTGAGGAGGAAGGAATGGCAGAAAAACCCCATGATGAACTGACCGCAATCTCCATTCCCCATTCCCCTGTGCCACTGGTGGGGAGGAGGTACAGAAAATCTGTATTGAAGTTAAGCCTGGGAAGAAGGTAGGTGTGGGGAACGGTGGTTTTAAGATTTGGTTTTATTTCTCATTATCCTGCTCTGATTTGATTGACCCACCACACAGGTCTATTGGCTTTGGACCAGTAATCAGTAAATACATGGACCTACTTTAACTGAAGCAGTGCCAGAACCAGGAATGTCCTCTTGGTCTTCAGAGGCAGGTAACTCTCACCTGCTCCCACAGGAGCTCCACAGCACAGACTCAGAATAAATCCCTGTGGTTTCATGTCTACATTATATTCACCAGCATCTCCTCTAAATGTCTTGCCTATCTGCACTTTTTTCACCCTCAAGGATCCCTTTGACCTCCCCTATCCCTCTCTGCCATCCCTTGAGGAATTCTTTGAATTAGTGACTAGTATTGTCCAGTAGCTCTGTGTACTTAAACCATTCAAACAGCACTGCTTTGATCAGTATATCTGTTTTTCTTCAATTTAAATGAGGCCAATTGCCTATGAGTTTGCAATTCACTAGAAAATAATGGGAACAGTCAGTGTCCTCATCTCAGTAACACATTTTGGAGAAAATACAGCACAGAACTGGATGTTAAATAAACATTAGCTTCAGCAAGAGGAAGAAGATTACAATGTCACTTGTACCAAATTACATAAAGTCCTCTCCAGGATGTTTTGTCTTTCTAGCATAATTCTTGAAAATGTTCAAAGCTAATCTAACTTTTCCAAACCATCTTTTTTAATTCATACTCAGACTGAATTTCAGAGAAATTCAGGGGTTATACAAATATGCAGGAGCAGAAGACACTCTTTATTACCACTGTACCAGATCTTGCAGGAAGCCAGAATTAGAAATTTAGGAAAGCCATGGAAATGAGAATTGCTTTAATTCAATAACAAATACATTGGCTTTCTAAATTAGATTTGATCACGTGAGTATTTCATGTTGTAGCTGCATAAGTATCTTATAAATACCTACCACATGTGACACAGGCACTTCAAAAGCATCATGCAAACTGTAGAATAGATCTGCAGAAAAAGTTAAAGAAAAATACATATCTTAGATCTTCACGTCTTGGTAAATAATTCCCAACTCTGAGATGTCATTTTATTTAATTTTACAACATTCAAAACCACTGTAAAATAACACCTGTAATAAATATTCAAAAAATAACTCAGATGACATTTTACTGTTACAGTTTACAGTAATGTCTGAGTAACATACAAATTGCATTATAAATAGCTTTGCCAACACCAAAACATAGAAATATCACATTTTATGTAATTCACTTAAGCACATGGAATTTTGGCTACAAAGGATTTTTTTCTTACTCTTCTTACAGATCTGTTTTGTTATGTTTTAACTTGTAAAATGTCTCAATTACACAGTCTCAGCACAAGGCAAGATGGAAGATACGTGAGAACCAGTGTGGGAGCAGGTGAGAATTACAGAATTGTACTGCCTATTCACTGGATTTCTACTGCTCAGTCTATTCAGGACTTATTTCATCCTGATAACAAGCAAGGTGTGCCAACTAAGGTCTTAGACTGAAATTCAGAAACTCTGGTTTCAAGTGACCTTGGACAGTTTTTCTGCCTCTGTTCTCCACCCACAGCATGGTACTAATAATGTTTCCTTATATCTCCAAAGACTGCAAGGTCTCAGAAGCTGCCTGCCACTATTTTTTTGTAAAGTAATTGGTACTGTGTGACTAAGATTAGAGCGGAGCTCAGTAAGAGTAAATGTGCAATCTAATGCAAGACACAATGATGAAATTGTTCTGATATTTAACAGAGGTAGGTAAATGATGCCCTTTGCACTACTGGGGAAAGCACAAGGGACTTGCTCAGTGACACAGCATGCCTTGCTGACACAGCTCCTGAGCCATAGTTGTGAACAGTGGTATGGTGAAGTCCTCCAGAAATACATGGTCTAACAGAAATGTAGTGGAGCTGTTAACACATCCAAGTCTTTACTGAGAGCCATAGCAGTCAGAGGAAAAATTCTTCCTTAACTTCAGTAGGCAGTGAAGTAAACTTTGTCTTAAACACTATAACCCAGAGGAAAAACTAATTAAGAAAACCCAGACTGCTTGGCACCTAAGATGAAATACAGGTATTCTGTGGTTTCAGTTTATGCCAGCAGTTTTCAGCACAAGTTATGGATATTCTAGCACAAAGCATGTGGACAAATTTCATGAAAAAGAAGCACTGTCAAAATTGCTATGTAAAAGCTGGGAAATGCATCAGATTCCTCTTCTGCACTACAGAATGAAAAAGCAGGCAGTAATAAGCTGAAACTGATAAGTGTATAGCCGGAGCATCTGACAGACTGTGTTTTAAGTACAGTAGGTAGTTAAAACACCTGGAAAAGAAGCTGTAACTTTGTCCTGCAGTACACTCCCCACTGCACTACACTTGAGAACTTCACCATCATAGTCACTACTACATGGCTTTCTGGGCTGCAAGTTCATGTTGAGCTTCTTGTCAACCAACACCACCAAGTCCTTCCCCTCAGGGCTGCTCTCAGTCCATTCTCCACCCAGTCTGTAGTTGTGCTTGAAATTGCCCCAGCCCACACCCTGGACCTTGCACTTGGCCTTGTTGGACTTCATGAGGTTTGCAAGGTCCCACCTCTCGAGCATGTCCAGGTCCCTCTGGATCCCATCCTTTCTCTCCAATGTATTGACCACACCACGCAGCTTGGTATTGTCAGCAAACTTACTGAGGGTGCTTAGACATCACACTATCTACCACAAAGTAGCCATCTAAGAGGACCTCTGCTGGTAGAGGCTGCCAACATGCCTGGAATCCTAGGAGGCATACTTATCAGGACTCTCAGAGAAGCAACCAAAAGCTAAGTGAACTGTGCATACTGGCCTGCAAGGTACTCTGAGGCACTTCACTGGGACAGCAGAAAGGAGAAAAGAAAGCAAGAAATCTGCCTGTTCTAAGCAATGAATTAAGATGTCTTACTTGCTGACAGATGAAACTATTTTGGAGACGCTAACACTGCAATGTACTTTCTTCTAAAGTCACAAGGGTTTCCTTATTGACAACACTTGAAATGTTCTACTGATTTACAAGAATTTTTTGTTTTTATAGCTAACTGTGAGGAAAAAGGTTTATGGCAGCTGACAAGATGCTCAGTCACAGCCTCGTCAATTTTATTATCCCTAGTGACCAGATGGACCAAGCAATCCACACTTCTAGACTCTGTGGTGTTCTGATGTTGCAATGATACCTGTTGTTCATAATGCCTGTTCACGTCGTTGTTTCAGACCCACAACTCTTGCTGCCAGGAGAAACACAGCCCCAGTGAGCACTTCTGCGACAAAGGAGATCCAGGCTAGTGCCAGTGACCAGCCAAACCTGATGTCAATTTCTACCAGGAGATCCTTACTCCTCAGGAGGCAGACAGCTTCTTCAAAGGCAGCAGCTGAATATGCAATATAAACACTGATCCCAGTAAGTGTAACAAGAGCTGAGAAAGAAAAGCATATTCAGCTAGTTAGCATCTACTGCAGAAATTAAAAATAAACAACTGGATATCTCCTAGGGCTTGTCAATCCTTTCTATCTACCCAGCCTAGATAACCAGCTAGCCTCTGTTTACCTCTGAAATCTAGCTGAGGCTGTTTTTTGGGGATGAGTGACAGGGAAGGAAAGGGAGGGTTATTTCTGTCCACTGAGTTTAATATGTTCTCACTGTTAAATACTGAATCAAAATGTATAACAGCAAGCCTCCCACAATAAAAATCTAGTCATGTTTTTTACAGATATCTAATGCATGTACATCTCTGTTTTCCATGCTGTATTATAATGCATCCTGATTTCTCATTGCTGTACACCACATGCAGCTATGTACCTCCATGCAAGAAAGCCCATGGAGACAGAGATTGACACATTTCAGGTCATTGACCTGAATTTAGAATGTTTTCTAATTTTTGGTATGGTAAGTTTTGAGTGTTCAATGTAAACGTGTCTGTCTTTACTGTCTCCTCCCACCAAGTGTTGTGGAGTCATGACTATTAATCACTTCCAAATAATTGAGAAGAAGACATCCTTGGAGCAGACTAAAAACAAGTTAATAAAGCCAGATGTTTTCAGAATGAAAGGACTGTAAAGCAGCTAGCAAACTCAGGGAATAGCACATCTAGCACAAGTACCTGCTACATGCTGGGCCTGGCATCCATGTCACTCAAAGGACAGATACTAACAAAAGTCACAACTTCAGTGGCAGGCAAGATGTGATAGAAACGCCCTGGATTAAAGGACTGTAGCCCAGGTAAAATAGATCCTGGAACACTCGTAGGACAAGATAGTGTCTTATGTGAGTCTAAGGGAGAAAAATTTTGGTTTAGCTTTTTGTTGAATCACAGTGTAAGTCCAGATGAGTTTGCATTTTTGGCAGAAAGACAAGTTTGAGTAGAAGCAAACCAAGACAGAAGAGTATTGGGTTATCCAACAGTCAAAATTCATACCTGTATTACTGTTTTTAACAATGCTATGATGACTGTACCTTATTCTAGTCCTCCGCAATGGTGGGGGGAGAAATCACTTGATACCTTTTGCCAGCGGAAATGGACATGACTGTTTTGTTGACATTTTCAACAAGGTATGCCTTGTATGTCTGTGATCCCCCTTAAATGTGGCTGTATTTCAACGAAATGGGGAAGCATAAAGAACGTCCTGGGGTGTGGAACGTATCAGTTCTGGTACTTCAGAAAACCCTCAGGTTTCTGGAATTGCAGCATAAAATATTTCTTTCCGCTGAGATGATTAATCAGTACTGAACTTTGTGACCTGGAATATCCTACACAGCTGTGCATGGCTGTTACATGGATCATGCCTCAGTGCAGCTGGAAGAGCTGAACAATACCACCTGAGCAGGAAGACAGTCTGGTGTCACACTGAAGACCCCGCTGCAGTCAGTCTGTTTATGCTGTCCTGGGAAACAGCACTAGCTGCATCTTGAAAACATGTTCAAGCACTCCTCTCCTGCTACAGTCTTTATGTTTCCTTTCCCTCTTTGCAACCCCAAGTGCGTTAGAAAGACACAGTACTCCACTCCTCAGCAGGATAATCATGCTTTGCACTTCATGGCTTTTCATCTTTCACTTACTATTTGGAGTAGTTTTCAAACAGTCTAAGCCTTTTTAGGGAATACAGCTTTCTGATGTTCTAAGGAAATAGAACTTTTTCTTTTTGAAGAAGAAAAGCATAATGGAGGATGGTTGGTCTTTGTAAGAGCATTTCAGACTAAAAAGGTCATTCAAGACTTTGAGACAGCAGCATTTGCTTCCAGCAATCTCTTAGCATTCTTTTCATAGAAACAGGATTGTATGATCAGGTGGTAAGGGCCAATACTGAGGATCCCCTTTTCTGCTGGGGAAAATTTCTGTTTAAGTTACGTTGTGAAACAGTACTGAAAATCTATTTGGAGAAGAAAATGGAAGTGGATTTCAACCCAGTTTTTCTACTTTGGCAGAACATTTTTAATTTCATAAATGAAATGGTTTTGGTTACAGCAAAAATAATAGAACACAAAATATAAAAGAATTTTAGCAGCTTCAGGTTGAAATGTTACACTCCAACTAAAATAACTCTCTGGGTTTTCCTTTTGTGACCTGCAGTTTGGGGACACCTCTCTTGTTCAAAACTAGCAGTGCATCTCACCAGGAATGACTACCAAGACCCCTCTGAGGGTCAAATATCTTTGGAAAAATGTCAGTTTTCTTAATAGTTTCAAGATCTGTGCAAGTCTATCAAATCCTATGCTTTACTAATTTGAAAGTCACTCCTCTATTACCCTGTCTGTGAAGAATTTGGGTACTATGCTGAGAAGGTATTAAATCTTCTGTGTCCACAAGGATATCTGATTGTGTGTGATTATTTGTTTTTCCTGACTCCAAGTGGCAGCTTTCTGTTCCAGAACCCTGTCAGGAGCTGAGCAGACACCAAGTGAATGAACACCAGCATTATTCTGAAAGTCAATTCTTGCTTAGCTTTTTTCCCCTGGAAGACAAAGTGATGTTTCCCAGATAAAATGTCTTATTATTTAAAACAGTTAAGCCAGGAGTTTGATATAGTACCTCCAAAAAGAAAGAGCAGTCCTGTCATTAGAAGTAGAAGGTAGGCCCTGGCAAGAATACTGATGAATCCAGTCATTCCTCCAAAAATCATCAATATCAGGCTGAGAGGCATCAGGATGACAAATGTTCCGTGCATATCTGAAGAAAAATTAAGAATTTCAGTATTTTATTGTGGTATCATTGGATGTAGTAATAATTATTGAGTGCAGAGCCCCTGAAAGGATCGAAGCCTTATTCTGTGCTGCAAAAACAAGGAGTTGGACAATCTCTTGGGTTTTCAGTTTAAGTCAGCAAGACAAATAAATGGTATGGAGAAAAGGGTAAGCTACAGAGTGAGCCTTTCACAGGACCACAGCCTGTGTTTCAAAGAGAGACAACAAATAAAAAGGGTATGTCTACATGGATATATTTAAGCAATTGAACTGTTCCCAAGTATTAAACCTAGCTAGATAACAGATGATGCATTGCATATCAAGTAGTTACCGACAGCCTCAATAAAAAGTAGCCCCGGTTATCTGAATCATACAGATCACAGTGAACGACATTGTTCTCTTCCGTTTGGGTGGTAAGATCCAGCACATACTCTGGTTAAACACTTTTCTGTCACATGTCCTCTGCTGAATGGATCTAGCAGATTGTTGACCTTTTCCTTTGTTGCAGCTGACCATCAACGAGACGTAAATTTTCCCATCCAGCTCTGATTCTATGTCTATCATTGTTTTCTACAGCAGCTTCACTAAGTACATTAACCTATCCTCATTGCTTCCTCTCATGCTAAATGTTTTACATTAATCTTTCTTGATCCCTACAACATTTTAATAGCCGTGTAAACAGAGGGTTGCTATGTGTTTTTTCATATCACACTGTTTTTTCCGTCATGAACCATCTTTGTGTCATTGTTCTCTCTCATGCAATCTATTAACAATGTTCAACCCGACCTTTTCTAGAATAATAACAAAAAAGTAACTCCAGCTTCCAGTATCAATTTATTTCATTCCAGAATGAAGTGCAGAGTCACAGAGAAAGGAAAACATAAAATCCATTTTACGAAGGGCTCTAGGCTTTGCTGTCTCATTTAATTTCACATAGGACAACAATACACCATTAGCTGGTGCCCAAGGAAAAGGAGTCAGTGAAGAGATCACACAGTGTGCGATCAGATGATCAATGTTTTAAGTCACTGTAACTGCCCACTGAATTGGAGGTACTCCACCTGCCACTGGCTGAAGATCCAGCTTGTCCTCTTCAATAACATTATAAGAATAAGACTCAAGCATGTACATACATGTTCAGTTGTAGAACCTTGGAAGGTGAGGAAAAGCCTTCATGGGATCAAGGCAGATACTGTTAATTACTTGGGTGGAATGTGGCTTCAAGACATAATGATTTGTTTTGTGTAGTACAGAACATGGTCACAAGGAAAAATGTGGCAATTGACAAAGTTTCCATTTTCATTTATTTATACCGATATTATATTCTCATATTTAGTCCCATATATGCCCACATTAGTATCAGCTGATGCTTAGAAAGCATGAATTCTGCATTGAAGGGTGCACTTTCTTTGCTTCTAAATCTGAGGATGCTCCCTTCAGCAAAACTGGCCACAGCTGCTATTGCTGACTAAGAAATCCAAACCCACAGCCATTCTCAAAAACCAGCAGTCAAATCAATCTTCAGCTGTGTCTAAACCATGATGTCGAAACTGTTTGCAAATCTTAGTTGAATACCAAGAGGAGAAACAGCTATGAAACTTAGTTCAGGACTTAGAAGTGGTTGTCAGGGATGTGATGCGACCTGATATTTCAGGATAGAGATTTGGCACAATTATAGATTATGAGAACAATTTAGTTCTCATATTCTACAGAGGCAGCAGGAACAGGATAGTCTTTGGCCTTGTTTTTGCTTCCTGCAGATATCAGGTCTGATTTTGCTTCCCTACCATTTTGACATCTATGTGTCTGCTTAGATTTGGTCTTGCAAGTAAGAGGTGAAAAGGCCTTGGAAGGAGGTAGGAGGTGTAAAATCTGATGCAATTAACATTTTGAAAGTAGGAATGATGCAACTCTGTCCTCAGACCTGGTTTTGCTGGGAGGGAAGAAATATAAACAAGTTCATCACTGGGCCTGTACTTTGTGATTTGCTGGGTGTCCCTCACTAGTCAAAGTTGCTGCTAACAAACTATACCTCAGGACATTAACACTAACAGTTGCCATTTCTTTGACTTTCCTTTTCATGGTGTTAATTCAGCTACTGCAGCTAGGATACCTTAGCCAGGACAAGTGTGGGTGAAGAAGATTAACCTCTGAATGTAACCTTTTTAAGCAAAGAGAAAACAACTCCGTACTAGGCTATTCTCCTGGGGAGTGTCATAGATTGCACTAATGATCTGTGACAATTGCACGCAATATCAGAATAATTCTGATTTTTATGCCTTCTTCAGTGAAAATCTAGGTTTTAGTGGTATCTCAGCTGAAACCCACAGATTCCACTGTGACCAGAGCCTTGCTTTTCCTACACACTGCTGGGATCACATTTCCATGAATCACCTGCAGCTTTTTAAAAATGAAATATTTAATGGATTGAATTTGGTTCAACAGCACTTTTATCACCTCCAGTGTTCTAGTTCAATACCTAATAGCCATTGGTCCTTCTATGAAATCTGCAACTGTCTGGGAAACTTATTCTAAAATGCTGCCATGGAAACCACTCAGGAATCTGAATTCACACCGTCTGGAATATGATACTATGCCTTGATTAGAGGGACAGAATTAGTTTATAGAAAAACATGACTTAAAATATCTTTACTGTGTTTCTGTCTTCAATAATCATCTGTGAAAGAAGTTAAAACATTAATTTTGCAGTCATTTTAGTGTTTCCTAGTTTGTGTTGAAATACATACTTATGCATGATGAATTATAATATAACTGAATTCATTTTGATTCAATTAATCTAGTATTAAAAAAATAACAGCCTAAGCATTTTGCACAAGAAGAGTTATATACACTTGCCTAGAAAACAGAATTGGTTTCCCACATCTCAATGCCTGAGTTCCCTGACAGTCCAACAAGAAAGATCCAGTAGTTTAATCTTGAAAATATTGAAACAAACAGATGAACATTTAAAAAACACTTTTTTTTGTAGAAACAACACTTAAACTGCTTGCTCTGAATTCATAAAGTTTTATATCAGCCAGCCAAATTACTAGAGGCCTGACCAAATGTCTGCAAAAATGACATCTGCAGTGTGCGTCCAAATTTGGCAGTCATTTCTAAATTTTCACCCAACACAGTTGTTGATGAGTGGTTTTAACAGAAATCTGTGGAATGAACTAGAAAATATGAATGGTGTCAAAAGTAACCAACTGCAGGTCTAACAGTTTTTTTAATCATCTCCTGCTAATATGCTGGAGCTTGTTTCAAACTAACTTTGGGTTTGTTTGCACAGTTTACAGCAAATAGTCTTCAGAAATCTGTAATAGTCACCTCATCAGAAATACTCCAAATGGCAGCAGCTCAGAAAAGCTTAATTAAGGACTTGTTTATCTGCCCCAACAGTAACTAAATAGCCAGTTAGAAATACAAAAGCCTCTAGCCAAAACAGAATGCTGGCAGTAGCTAAAACCAGTGGGGCTGCTCTGGAAAGACTTGGTGAAGCCAAGAAGAAACAGTGCAATGAGAAAGCCTGACCTGCTTGCAAGGAAAGAAGGAACTTAGAGAAACAGTGAGCAACAGAGAGGAACCGTTGTCTCTGGCTAAATGTGGGCTTGAACCCAATGGACGCAAATGCTTGGATTCCGTCCTGTTCAGTAGAGAAGAGATGATGGTGGAGGAGCTCTGGACTTGTGTTACATGTTTTGGCTTTATGCTTGTCTCACGCAACAAGTCTGAGCTAAACTGGAAGGCAAACTGCAGATAGTAGAAATAAAATGATGCTGGACTTGGTACAGGTGGACACTGGTGAAAAGCTTTGATACTAGGAATGGATAGAATGATAAACATAAGTGATACACTGTGGTTCACATTCTATTGCTATGGTAGCAATGCATTTGAAAATGAGAATATTCATCAGAAGTTGTCACTCATTAGGTCTCGGATGCAGTGATGCTAAAGTTATCTCAGCTTTCTGTATGTATTTATTGTAATATCTACTGTAAGCACTGAAGCAAGTGCTTACTGAAACCTCTTTGAAGGACCACTGCACTGTTGCTCTGAAACAAAGCAGATCTCCTTAGGCATGCACCTACTATATCAATATGTCAGAATTTCTTTGTACACCATTTGGGTCCTGTTTCACTCAGTCTCTGAACTAGCTCTTGCTGGGTATTCCAGCCCTAGCTGTTTCCTTCTAATGACTTTCAACCAAAAGGAAAAAATGCAAAAAACTATGAGTCCCCCATGAAAAACGTAAGAGCAGCCAAAGGCATTCTGGGATTATATCATTATAAACACGTAAATTGGTAAAAATTAAGCAGGCTCATAAAGAACGGGGAGAAGTGTGAAAGCAGCTCGCTAGTGACTGTTACAAGGTCCACATGGTGTAAGGAAATCCTGTACTATTAAACTAATTTTATTGAGGAAGAAAGCAAGGCAGCTTTAACACTGTAACAACTGAGGCACCACTAACTGCCCCTACTGCAAAGACTGTTTCTCTCCAGTAAGCACTAGCTTGTCTGCAGGAAGCACTAGCTTGTCTGCAGCCTGAGGGTTCCAGTTACACTGGTGTCTAAAAGGGAAAAATTAAAACACTCTGGGCAGAAGAATTTAAGCAGTTGTGCATGGGCAGCTGCACACTTCTTGGTTTTATAACAAGAAAAACGTTTTCTTCCAGCCATATATAAGTGGAAACCACATCCATTAACTGATCATCTCTGGATGGCTCAGGAGTAGAGTACTAAAAATGACTTGTAACAGGAAATCATTCACCAGCCATGATGTTCATGTTACTAACAAAAAAACAGGGTTGTCAGTGGCTTAATCATACCTTGTAGGTATCTTTGGACCAAAATGGCCTCTGACATTTTGGTCAAATAACACATTATAAATGTTGGTTTGATGTGCCAAAACAAAAAAAAAAAAGAAAAAAAAGAGTGAGCTTGGTGGCAATTTGGTTTTAAACTATAAAGGGGCAGGGGGAAGGCACACAAAAAACCCCTCCTCATGGTAACAAATTTCATCATGCTTTAAAAAAACCTTAGCCACTGTTCAGAACATAGATGGAAGTAATTTTCCTATTACCAAGCAGGGATCACTATCCTGCCAAAACAGACACACACAAACAGATTACTTGAGTTTCCAAAAAGTCAAGCTCATAGAATGGTTTTGACAGGATACATTAGTATCCAGCAACCACATTACTTTGTTCTTTTGACAGCTCATCTGTCCTGCAGGAAGTACTTGAACCAAGCCCGAGAGTAGAAACTGATTTTTATTAGAAATACTTCAAAATTTTTCATTTTGCAGGGATTACACCTGTGCTGTCCTTAACTAAATCTATACTGGTATTTACTTATTATTAACAATACAGACTTTGGTAAATGAAAAACAGTTATATTACAAAAATGCCCCAAGAGTAACTTTCCCCAGTGTAACTTGTTGGGCTTTGGGTTCAGTTTGTTGGGGCTTGGGGGGTTTGTTTGGTTGGTTTGCTTTGGGGTTTTGGGGGGTTTGGTATTTGGTTTTAATTTTATTTCTTTTTTTAAGAAATTATTTTTTAAAGCTGCAATTCTTAAGGAAGATTTTTTTAATTGATTAAAACCTGCCATGCCTTCTGTGCACCAACTTCCCTCTCTCTGTACGTGATCCTCAACATTTAGGTTCCTGAGGAAAATGGCAAAGCTGCTCAGAACTCCTAATGCAGCTTCCTTTGAAGTCAGAGTGACATCCTTCTTTTACCATTTAGTGAGAGATGGAATGCAGCTCATCATGGAAAAACATTGCTCTTTCTGCTTGTCTTCCATAGCTGGCACAGGAGAATGAATGGCAAGATAAGATATCTGGGGTGTCTCTGCCAACATATTTCAGTTTTAAAGGTGACTTTCAGAGGACTATCTTTAATCCTAGCACTTTAATCCTAGCTCTTTAAACCCCAAGAGACCCTAATAACTGTCTAAATGCTGAAAAGTGACACTTTCATTTTAATACTGTATGGGACAGAGTAGAATGTACATCTCTAGTGAAAAATATTTTTATTTTAAATGCAGGGTTTTCAGAAAAGCTGGTGGTAGGTAGTCTAGTAGTGTATTCTGATTATTTAAACAAATATATAACCATGCCATCATGTGATCTGTAGTAGGAAAATATCTTTTACATTCTGGGTTTGAGGGTACATGCCATATGTCCAGCTGGAGGGAATGGTACAAAAAGAAATAGAAGCTTAAAGTACAGGAGAAGGCATATGTCTAATCCATTAGAGTAACTGCTCAGGAGTACTCCTGTGATGTGAAAATACATTGCACTCTCAGGTTTGACAAGACCTAGGTTGATTGCCCGAGTAATATTGCTGGCAGCACAGAACTTTCACTTGTACGCCTTTCTTCTCTTTAGTTTGCCAGTAGCTCTATTTGAAGTCTGCAATAAGCCTAAAAGGAATCTGCTAGGGATGAATAGGAGAGAGATAGAAAATGTGGAGGGAGAGAATGTGAAGGCTTTTCATTCTCTAATGAAAGGTTTGTCTTCTGGCACTGACTAGCACTTCTGTTTCCACTTAGACCCAGCTCTTGCACTCAGATACAGACTTTCTCCCATCTTTTTGGCACTTTTTCCTAATTAAGACATGCCAGGAAGAATATGGGAACTCTGAAAATGGAGGACGGGATTCTCAGGGTGTTACTTAAACATCTGAAATAGGAGACAGCCCTTTTAAACCTTTTTAGGAATAATCGGCAAGAAACATGTTTAACGTTTCAGAGCTCCTGAAATTCAGCCTGCCAATTAAACAGTGAGAAATATGGGTGTACAGCTGGACAGAATGAGATTAATTCCATGTGAACATGCCTCTCAGACACCTGCACAGGCACACACAGAGAAAAAAAGTAATCTTTAAAAGTAACTGATTAAAGCTGTGCAATTAGGCAGTTTGCCCCATATAGCAACACATGAATAAATTACTGTAACTACGCTGAAATCCATGATTCCAGAATTGTCCTCTAAAATTCTAGTTAAAATGTGTTGTAGATGAAGGTTTGCCCTGATCTGCCTAAATATGACTTGGTGAGCACAGTCAGAAATTAGTTGAGAAAAGAGTGTAAGGCTGAAGTAGAAGGCGATACCTCAGTACTTAACAAACCTAGATGTCACTTAGAAAGATCAGTATTTTCTAGAAGAAGTACTGTCATGGCACTTGCTATGCTCAGCTGCTATTGGTGTGAGTCTGTAGCCTCACCACACTGAAACTGCATTGAAGCTGAGCACCTGAAATATCAGGAAGTTTACTCCGTAGGGCATTCAAATCAAACCCGTAAGTTCTTTCAGTGAAAGTATCTCTGAGTTCTCATCATTTTTAGACAGACTATGCTTGCTTATAATAACATCTAGAAGTGTCTTTGCAGACCTGAAGTCTTTGTCCAGGAACCTAAAAATAGTACTTGATGTAAAAGCAAGAGATAAACAAATTCTCTGAGGCTCTGAAGAGTCTGTAAACATAGCTATGAATCCAATTTTTACTCATATTCACTATTTAGTTACACTTCATGACTACCAAAGAGCTGTTCTTTGTTTCCAAGCCAACATAATTTTTATAACCAAAAAAGCTCTGTATATTCTTTGCTTTTGTTTTTGCAGAATTCAGCTTTCATTGAAGAGCTGTAATCTAAAATCTCCTTCCTGAGGAAAATTACAGATATGAGCACAACTTTTGAAATGCTAATAATTTTATCCAGAAATTTTAGACTACCACCAATATAACAGCTGAGGTGCCCACACTTAAAACATGATCAGTCTTGTTGCTTTCAATTAACTTTAAACCCTCAAAGACTTAAGTGATCCAGCAGAAAATCATTTTCACTGATCCTCTACAGTTTTCAGCAACATCAAGCAGCTAAGGCCCTCTGTCTTAAGCAAGGAAGATTAAAGAAATGGCACCTTTCAATTTGAAAGCACGAAGAGACAATCTGCTCTTGAGTCTTGAACCTGTCAATATGCTTGTAACCGCTGTAAAGTATCCCACTGGCATCTTATTCCTACTTTAACTTTCAAGTTACTGTTGCAGCACAGCTACATTATCATCAGTACCTCACTGGCTTACTTGGTTATGTGGACTGCCCTTCTAGATATATCATCAGATGCTATTCCAAGAGACTAAAGACACTCTAAGCCTCTCTGAAGGATTGCTCAGGGAAATGGCTGGCTTTGAGGGAAAGAATACCATTTTAAGACACAGAACAAATGCATATATTCTGCTTGCAAGGGGAAAACAGCCAGAGTTAGTGAGGAGAGTGAAGTAAACAAAAAGAGTGCAAGTGCATATACAAGCATGTATGAGGGAAGCATTGTGCAGAATATGAGGCAAAGAACATAAATCATCTTTTTGGAGAAGCCTAGAAGTATTTGAAAATGTTTAGTTTGGACTTTCTGAAAACATTCTGACATTGACAAATGAATCTAAAGAAAAAGGAGTAAATACCAACCAACGCAGTTAGAAACTTAAAGTAATGTTTTTGAACACAATGTTCTTTAAAGCCTTTGAACACTGCTTTTAATCATTGATTTCTTTCCTTAAATTCCCACATGCTTGAACTTTCTTTTCAGTGTAAGGAATCCCACTGAAAGGGTAGGTAAGTGACAGTCTTAATGATTTGTTTAAATGCGTGCTTAAGCATCTTCAGCGATCAAACTCTTTTGGGGGGATTTTGAACATTTTTACCTTTTATTTATGATAATTTTGCACCTTCCTGAGCCATTCCAGACAGAAACATTTTACTCCTGGGTAACAATTTAGCTGAACTTGACACCAACTAGATAGTTATTTCAACAGTAACACCATTTAAATACCACATGCAGTGACAGATATTGTACAGAAGCAGAAGGAAAACACTGTCTCAAAGAACTGCCTCTCTGAATCAGAAATGGGACCTTGTAATGGGCCAAGGAGGGAGGGAAGGCTGGATGGAAATGTAGAAGTAATATAGAAGTTACTCACATAAAAGCTGTCTGTGTGAATCAGTGATGTTTGCATTCTCATGCCAGAAAGGGTTTATCAAAGGATAACATTCGTTCCTCACTAACAGAGAAGGGAAAAAACAATGAGAGAAATTAATGCTATAATATTTCCTCTATTTTTGTGTGTATGCATTTGCTCCACAGTAATAGAGAAGGGAAAAAACAATGAGAAAAAATTGCACTATAGCTTCTTGCAATGTATGTTCTTTTTCTGCATGTACGCATACTTCATATAATATTATCTGTTCTAAAACCAGTCATTCCTAGGTAGGGGAGGGAAGGAGGGGATTTTCAGCACTCAGCATTGGCCAACTTCTGCCCCCATGGGGCCTGACCACTGAAGTCAAGATGGAAAATCTGCTAATTTCAGTGGGGCTCAGGGTACAGCAAAGGGGAGAATTCCTTTAACCTGCACCTTCTTCCTTTCTCCACTGCAAGTAACATCCTTTCTTGCCTATGATGAACATTACTTACTCCTTGTTTTTAATGGAGGAATCAAAACCCAAAGAATACGCCTGGCATACAAATTAAACTGAATGGAGAAAATACTGTCATATCCACATAGGGCTAATGGATCTATCATTAAAAATCAGAGCGCTGAAATACCAAGCAAGACCAAACACAGTACAATCACTTGGTGAACTTAGTCACTTAACCTTTAGTTAGCATGGGATTAAGTTAATTTAATTATATTATTTGCAGATATACATTTACAACTAATAATATTTACTCTCATACAATTTATATTCATAGTACTTATTCATATAAACTATATATTGTTTAATATTATTTAAGTTCATATTCTTTATGTTATTATTTATTTTTCAATGGCTTTAACCCAGAGCTTTCGCCCCTTATTGCCCCCTTCCCCCCGAGTAAG